GGTGGAGAAATGATCTAAATGAAGGACCTTCACGGTTATGAGACACAGAGACAGAAAAGCATTTTGTATGTATTTGGGGATTTACCATCAATGATAAGACAGAAGGAGGTTATTGGCTGGAAGACACATATACCTTCAGAAATTCCGAGGAATACATTCTCTCACACATGTCCAATGGTAAACACTGCCTATGAGTGACCTGAATCTACATGTTACTGTCGTTTCCCAGTCATGCTGACGGACACGTGGTCGTGTAAAAATGTGGCCCACAACTTAATCAAGAAGCTAACGTGACGGTGATATAACACTGCTTTCCGACAAGTCGGACCTCTATGCCCTGACCTCTTAGATTAAAACATGGACCTTCGATAAAAATATCTATATGAACACGGCCAAGTTTTTTCTATTCAAGTGACCTATGGCAGGTAAGAAGAGCATTCTACTTATTTCCTGGCTGACAATTCCATTTTGCATTATGATCATTGCCAAGCCAGTTGATATTACCTAAATGACCTAGATGTAGTAGAACTCTACATCTGCAAATCTCCGTTCTTTCTCTCTTCTTCTTCTGAGGAGGAGAGCTTTGGATAAGTGTGGCAAGAGTAATTCCAAACAGGCTAAAGTTTTTTTTTTCCATCCCAAAAGTCACATATTCTCTTAATGTCACTGTGGTCTGTCTCTCTTAGCTTGAAGCATAGATGCAGAGATTCTTATAAATGGAAAAGACAGACAAGATTGTGGCAATCAACAAACCCAAGTTATTTAGAATAGTGAGCGTTGATGAGCTTTTCTTTAAAAAAAAAAAAATCTCAGTTTTAAATACTAGTTCTGGGGGACCCAAGAGTTGCAGGTTATTTAAACCACATTATCCATATTCCCGAAAGGATTGGGTTTTAACTGACACACTTTACTACTTTATCTTGTATTATTTCTATCTCTTAAAAACAAATTCTGTGGGCTGACAGCTAAGGATCCACAACCCTATGAACTTATACCTTCATTTGCTTAGTCAGTCTAATGACTCCATCCATCCCACTGATGCTAAACTGAAGCACAATACAGAATTGCCCCTGCCCCACATAGTCTAGCCAGAAGCATCAGTGATCTCTGTGAAAGGAACTCAATGATAAAATTAGAAGAAAGAGATATTTTCGTAAGGCCATCTGTATTCATCCATCTCACCACTCCAAGACAGTCTAGGAAAATAAAGAATTTTTTTCTTAACTAAACAAGGATCTTAATTCAAACTAGATGCAGAATAAAAGTCTTTACTTTTAATCTGTACAGTGAAAGGATGCATAATGAAGTTTCCATAGAGAAACAGAAGTTGTCGTGTGGATTCTGAGAAAGTGGGTTCCCAATTCAGAGTACCCTATGTGACTTTTATCATTATCCTCTTTTCTGATTCCTACAAAGCAAACCTAATTAAGAACCTCCCTCATTAGTCTTCCAGAAAAATTAGCACAGCTTATGCTAATTACTCCTGCAAAATTTAATAAACTCGTTGAAATGGGAATAGTCTAATGAGGTTTTATTTATTGAACTAAGATAACTCCAAGGGAGAAGGTTAGGACACAGGGATATCCACTGTAGTAATAAAACTACAATGTATTCAATTTCCAAACAGGAATTTTATTGCAAACCTTTTAAATTCAAATCTGAGTTCCTACGTGAATGTTAAATCAATCCCCTCCTTAATTCAATAACTGGAAGTCATTTTTTGCTTTTTACTTTAACAATAATTACCACACATAGCCCTTTATCTCAAAGATAATGAAATTTGCTGTTGTTAGTTCCTGTTCATCAGCTATTGAACATAGCACATTTGACTTTTCCCATGTCTGCACAGCCCAAATATCTGGATCATTGGGCACAGGCTGGGGTTTTATGATTCTTAATCAAGCTACTTGCCATTGAGCAGAAACGTAACCGAACAGTCGTCTCCAGATGCCCTCTTCCTACCACCACACAGCAATTTTCCAATAAACATTTTGACAAATTGTCATGACTGAAGAAAAGTAATTTGGGTCATATTTTCTTACTTTGTTGCATGCCACTGGAAGGAAATAGAAACTTGTCTGTCCAACTGCTGGCTTTGTTAATTTCATTACACACGCACACACACACACACACACACAATTTACCAAACGGTGGTCTCCAAATCACTGGCAACAAATAACGTGGCCAAATTTTAACACAGAAAAGCCTGGCCCAGCACCACTTCTGTGTGACCAGAAAGCCTCTTCCCTCTACCCTATAAATAGTTTTCCTGAATAATCACTGCTAAAAAGTCTTTTGACTGACAAAAAATAGCAAGGTTCTTCCAAATTCTGAAGGTCAAGCAAAGGGAACTCAAAAGTATTAGCTTTCGAGAGGTGACTGTATATTAAAGCTATGGTAACGTCTAACCATAGCCCATACCCTCAGCCTTGGACTGCATACAGTATGCATATTATATATATTTTAAAAACTGACTGTTCCTACTGAGTACCGCAGGCTCAGACACTCGTATCCATAAATCCAAAAGCAAATCAACCACTAAGCACATAACAGATATTATACAATCCACAATGAAGAGTGAAATCGGAAACTAAAATCCAAACATGGTTGCCATTGCATTCCCCCACCTCTTTGCAGAAATTCTGTGGAGTTTTCTGTTTTGTCTTTCCTTGCCTGCATTCTAGTGATTTTCATGCCTCAGTTTCAGAAGGAGAAAGCTTCACATATCGGCAGGGACAAGAGTGGACGCTTATTTTGTTTTCTTATTTTAATCTTTGACAAAACGAAGAGGCAAATAACTTTGAGAACTCACATGCAAATAAAAGTGGCCAACTGGGAGCCTATCAACTGGTCTCTTTGCCAGACAATGGCAAACACCAGCAAATCAGTGTATATTAGGACTTGAACACATCCAGTATGTCTCAGCCGTTTCTTAAAGTGTCCCTTCCCTCAAGAAATAAAACTAGCTGTGCAGGGCTTTTACTTTGTCTAACCAAAACAAGGGTGGGGATGGAGGGATGAAAAGTATGGCTGTCATATAGATGTCATGAATAATATCTCTATAGCCACCAACAGCATAAAGTGCAGACTTATTTTTGCCTAAGTTGTTTGACCCCCCCCCCCAGCCAAGAAAACGGTTTTAAGTACCCTACTGGGACAGATGCAAGGCGGGCGACAATAGAAGCCACACTAATGCAATCCAGGTAACACAATCCTGTTTCAAAAACACGGGGCGGGCTAATTACAGCGCTGCTGAGTCAAGTTTCTCCTGCCATCGCAACCCACAGGAACAGGTCAAAATCAGATGTTATTCAAACCACAGTCCTATCAGCCTTCTACATCAGAGTCGCGGCTTAAAACCCAAGGAAGGACTTTAAAGTTTAACCCATTCACAAGCGAAAAACTGTTTTCATGACAGGTGGCACGGCAGGCCCTGGTCGTCATCATCACGTAAATGGAAAAAGACAATGAGACACCACAGGCTCCTCATGCGTTTGAAGTTTGGGGAGTGTTCAGGCAGGCTCTTGGATGAGAGATGTTTTCTTTTTAATGTGAGAGTAAGAAATACTGGCTTCAAAAGAGAAGCTGTGTTCCGAAAGGTATACAATGAATGAAAGCAAGGTAGCAGAAAATACAGTGTATGGATGCCGTATCTGCTCTCCCAGATGAGCATGCCACCTCACTGTGGACGCCAGACAACATCACTGTCCATCAAACTTTTGCCTCTTTCAGCTTGAGATCAAGATGTTATTGTGCGTATCAAATATATTTTTTCACGACTCCTTTCATGAATATTCTGACTGGAACATTCACCTTAAGTGAAGCTTCGACCAAACTACTTGGAGATGATCAATATTGAGCTAAGGACCTGAAGACACACAGAGGTCATAACCAACAATATTTTGATAGAAACCAAGATGGACAAACTAGAAGCCTTGGCTTCTTTATCCAAGAAAGGATAAATCAAAATTTAAAAACATAAAGAATTTGACAGATTGCTCCTGCTGCATCGTTGTCTTGCTGCTGCCTGAGACAGCATTATCGAAGCTCAGAAGGGGACCCTCATCTGGCTGCTGATTTCCTCAATGAAGGAATCTGCCTTATTTGAATGAAGACTCTTAGCCGGCCCCCGCCCGCCCTAGTGAATAGAAAATGGTAGTTCTTTTCCTAGCTGACAATTGACAGTGTCTATAAAGCTTCCAGGCCATTTAACTCCCAATGAGTAATGCCACATAACGAGTGGTTTATCATACATGTTTCCATACGATGAATTTCAATAATTAAAATGTAAAATGAATATTTGGGATGCCACTCTGCATAATATTGTGCACACCGACTTCAAACTGCACTGGCAGACTGAAACAGATGTATTGCTCTACAGTGATTTACTTGGTCATGTAAGATTAGTAATATGGATCTGTTTAAAAACACAATAATTAAGACAAGCAGGATAAATTAATCAACTCACAATACTGTAGGAGCTGCAATCAAGCCCGGAAATAACAGTAGGAAAATCGTGGTTCACAGATCTCTTTAAACTGCTTTTATGCATAAATAAAACCTTAAAATGTAGATGGATTACGTCCAACAGAACTACTGTAGCTAAAAGTGATAATGATTCAAACATTTTTCAAATAAAAGTTAAATATTTATAAGCACCCAACCGCATTTCATAAATCACCAACTATTATTATTTTATTTCTGAAGCTTCCTGGTACGGCATGAGGACTGAGCCACAGAGAGTGAGGAATGAACACATGCATATATATTACTTTATGAGCATTCATCCGACACAAAACCAGAGCCATCCGAGAAAAGGGCCTCCAACAAACATTCCATATGGCTTTCCCCAAGATCACAATCGCTCGACGCAGTATAAGTCAGGACCAACAGGCAAACTTTAGCCACATGCACCCCTAACCCTCGCCTGTGAGCGACACAAAGCAGGTGTTTCATTATAATGAGGAATAAGACGCCAGTAAAAGAAGAGTGGTCCCTACCTGTCAATTATCACTGGATCTGAGGGAGTCTCATTTCGGTTGCCACAGCTTTTCTTGTCACAACAGCGGCTACGGAGAAAAAACGAAAGGATTTAGTACCAACCATTACAATGTAAAATCATCATTGAAGCAGACAGAAGGTTCAGATTGCTAGGCTGCAAATGCTAGAATTACCACAAAGCCATACCTGGCAATCAACGGATCCAAGGGACAGAAAATTCCATTTGGGTCACTTAGGGGTTAATGGCCAGGCTTAACCTCTCCCTGTTCAGGGGACAGGAGGAGAGGGCCCCTCCCAGAACCAGGCATACAGTCTAAGATGGGGTCTCTCCCTCACTATGAGTATTGGCATAGTTCAATGTGAAGTACTGTATTCTCACATCTACCCAATGAGAATATTCAGGGTCGTGGGTGGATCAAACATTCTTCCCTCAAGAACACACTAATTGTGTGGAAGGCGTCAATGATACTGATGAGTGATCCCCTCCCCAGTCATTCTGTATTAAATGGATTTTTTTTCTTCTCTTTTTGATGGGTGGCACTTCCTTCAACCACAACCCTGGGATTCTCAAAACTCCCAGCACAGTGACTGTTTTGTTTGCCTTTGAGCATCGTCTTGAGATTAAAGGTAATGATCCATAATGATGCAAAGAAGGAGAAGGTGAACAGAAAAAGTGCAGAATCTGTTCTCAGTCCTCTGGCTTTGGTGGCCAGCACTGGCAAGAATTGGGGACACTGGCTAACACAACCCTAACTATAAACACTGGGACACAGGAAGAACAGCCACGAGTAAAGAAAGCCCTGTTACACACATCCTATTGTGTTAGGACCCTGAGACTGCCAGGTTGAAAAAAAAAATCCCAAGGTGTTTCAAAAAGGTGAATAAAAAATCATGAATTTCTTTTCTCTTTCAAGACAGGGTCTTACGTATCCAAGACTGACCTCAAGCTTGTTATGTATCTAAGGATAATCTCAAACTTCTGATCCTTCTCCCTCCACCTCCTCAGCACTGGCTGTGATTATAGGTGTGTGCCCACTTTGTGCTATAGCGTTAGGGGTTGAACTTAGGGATTCAACCTGAGATATATATAACCTGCAGCTGTAGATGTCATGTTTTGAAGAAATACCCACCCTCAGCCAAAACTGTGCATCTAAAATACAATTATAAGTAACAATTTGCCCCATGGCTGGTCTTCCCTGAGGACTATACTGTGGAAAACCATGCTTGATCAATGAGGAAGACTGGAAAGTTATCCAGGAGCTGGATTCTACCCCATACAGTAAGTAAAAAAACATGCTTTTCTCCATCCCTCACAAATATTCTAATGTATGCAAATACAGAGAGAGGGAGGGAAGGAGGGAGAGAGAGAGAGAGAGAGAGAGAGAGAGAGAGAGAGAGACCTGGAAATTTTTCCAAACATAGGAAATTTTTTACCAAAATTAAGACATCTTCCTCTCTTTGACTGTGTCTGAGTGATGGATCTGCTTGGTGATAGATCTATGTCTTTATCTTCAGATGGCAATGAAAAGAATTGTATCTCTGTTCTCAAAGCCTTAGCTGAAAACATTGACTCCTCCACAAACTAATCACTTTCCAATTTGGTGGAAACTTTTCTCTGGGCCTAAGTTCTAGTCTACCAGTTACACTATGTGGTGGTAGGCCCATGGTATCCTATCTGAGAGACCAGTAAAGTCACAGGGGGAAAAGTGATGTAAGAGATGGCATTTGTGCAAAATAAATAGCCTAAAACTCAACTCCAGGGCCCAGCAAGATAGCTCAGCAAGGTAAGGTGCTTGCCACCAACCAAGAAGATCTGAACTCAATCATGACCCATGGGGTAGAAGGAGAAGCCCTACCTCCTCAAATCGTCCTCTGACATCCATATGTGAATCACAATATGTATACACATACACATGCATACAAAAAATGTACAAAGTAATATTTGAAAACCAAACTTAATTATCCCTGACAACTGATCCCCTCCACCCGCATTCCCTCATCTTGTCATGTTAGCATCGTGATTAAGAATGCTGGTTCTAGCATCATGGTTAAGAATGGTTCATTCTATTAAGAACCCAGGTGAGGCAGTATCAAGATCACCCTTGTATTTATACCTTGGCCTTAGACTCCAGTCTGAGAAGCCTGAGCTATGTAAGGGGAGTGATGCCCAAAAGCAGAGAGAAAGAGAGAGAGGAGAGAGAGAGAGAGAGAGAGAGAGAGAGAGAGAGAGAGAGAGAGAGAGTGAGTCTTGGTGACTCCACCCTCACTGCAATTCTCAGGGGACCTCCTCCAGCTTGCTTGATGCTAACTATGGGCAAGAGCCCATCCCTTGAGTCTATGGCTTCTCTTCCTACCCATCATCATGATCTTCAACAGAGTCGCTTTTATTTATTTCTGGGACTACTGCAAAGCCTCCCCCTTGATCTCACTGTCTCCGCTTTGACTCCATCTAACAGATCTGTCGCATCTCACTGACCTTTTCGCAATGTCCAGGGGATCGTGCCATTTTGTTGTCTAAGACCTTTGAACAGCTTCCCACTGCACTTTGAATAAATCCATGGTATGGCGTCATGCCAGGCCACTGACCTGCCACCCTTTCTTACCAGCTTGCCAAGCTCCAGCCTCATGGGCCTGATGTGATTCCCTCCTCCATGGCATGCTCTGTCAGACCTCATGTCCAGGCAAGCCTCTGATGGACAGCTCTTCCCGCCCTTCCCTCCTGAGCCACTTTCCCTTGCCTCTTAGAAATCAGTGTTGGTCCCCTGGCTTACCTGACACTTCATCCTTAATCTAAATTGGGCTGTTTTTCTCTTGGGGACTTTCTACAATGTAGCTCAGCCTGTTGCTTATGTTTTGAGGCATTTTGGTTGGGAATTTTCCCCATTCCATGTTCCCCTTCTGTTAATTCATATACGTCATGAAGGTAGAAACTGTCCATAGCACTTACTTGTACATAAAGCTTAAGCTAGACTGTCAGAGCTCAGGATTAAATGATTCAGTGAATAAATGATTGAATGATGGATGAATGTTAATGGACAACTTTGTGAATAAGTATGCTGTACTGGGGAGACACAACAGATAAAATGATAATAAAGCTAACTCCCCGGACAGGCATTGTGTACTCCATTTCACCCCACACACAAAAGCACCTCCTCCAAATGTCACTCTTGGTCCCAGAGATGTATTTCAATTTATGTATACTCCATCTCCACAACGCAGATGCCCTGATGATAGTAAGAGGAACTAAGCCAGGTCTATATGCTGTGACCCCAAGATGCTCAAAAATAGGCAAATGAGAAGGACCAAATGGAAATTAAATAGGCAGAGTCAAGAAGACAGAAAAGGGAAACAATGAAGTCACTGCACACATAGAAAGAAAGGTGTATACACAATATTAAAACTAGCTTAAACAGGTTCCTGTATTTTGGGTCACACTGCCACACCATATAGTCAGCACTCCCTGAAACACAATATCTACAATATCATCCCACTAAGATACAGAGAGAGTTAAGATATGATCATGCAATGTTCTTCACAGGCTCCTAGGAAGTCTAAGTCTTTAGCTGGATCGCTATTTTTGGAGTTTTAGAGGTTTCTTGAGAGGCTAACTGAAGGAAGTATGTCTCTGGGGATACATGCTTAGGAGTGGTACCTTGCCATGAGCCATTCCTATATCCCAATTTCTGTTTCCTGGCTTTCAGGAGGTAATCAGCTTTTCTCTACGATGGGCCCAGAAACAGAAAGTGACCATCTACTGAACACTTTGAAAAATGAGCCAAAGGAAATCCTTCCTCCCTTAATGAGTTTCCAACATATATTTTACCATATCAGTGAAAACTGACAAAGATGTACAGAGACATATATGCACATGCAACACATGTATGGATGTAGCTGGAAGTGCACATGTGTGTACGTACATCTATATTCATAGAATTCTGTACACTAAAAAGAATGAAGGTACAGTTGACACAGTTCATGGAAGAAGTCTACATTATAGTCTGAGTTAAGAAATCAAGTCACAACATAATATGGACAGTATAAATCCACTTCTGGAAGAATGAGTGAAGGAGAAGGAAGAGAAGAAATGTTCACAAGTCTGGTATACGTCCACAATTCACTTAAGCCTCCACTGCTTAACAAAGTTCTTCAGTGCTTGGCCACCCCAAAGCTCTGTAGCTTCTGCCCAGATGTGTAGTTGAATGCACATCCACATTCAACTACACATTTCATTCATTGTCTAATTTTATTATCTGTCTTTCATGCTTGACTTTTACAAAGACAGATACCTAAACTCTTAGTCTCCTCTCTACAACCCCAGTAAAGGCAACTAAAAGAAGGTGGATTTCAAAAGTTGACTTGTGAATAAATTCCAGAGAACATTAAAGATTAATCTAGAAAAGCCTAGAAAAGATGGCGGATGGAGGGAGAGACATCCTTCATTTCCATTCATCCTGGTATTCTGCTTTGTGTTGCAAGGACACCTCCCTACTAAAAGAAATAAAAGCCAATCTCAAACAGAAAGAAGCTTTGCTTATAGCTTTATTACACTTTTAGTCACATCTTTGCTTATTTATTTATCTCTGTGTGTAGGTACACACACCTCTGTGTACATATGGAGATCAGAGGACAACTTGAAATAGCTGAGTCTTCCTTTCTACCACATGGGTTCCTAGAAATCAAACTCTGTCTCAAGGCTGAGATGATATCCACTAACCAGTAGCTTCCCAGAGCCTGAACCCTTAGGGGCTCTCAGAGACTGAACCATCAACCAAAGAGCAAACATGGGTTGGGCCTAGGCCTCCTGTACAAATGTAGCAGATGTGCAGCTCGGTCTTCATGTCGATCCCCCAACAACTGGAGCAGGGGCTATCCCTAAATCTGTTGCCTGTCTGTGGAATACATTTCCCTAAATAGGCTACCTTGTCTGGCCTCAGTGGGAGAAGATTCAGCTAGCCCTGCAGAGAAGATGTTTCAGGGTGGGGGGCTTCCACCCCTCAGAGGAAAAGGGGAAGGAGAGGGAGTGCTAGGGGAAGACTGGGGGGGCAGTCATCTGGATGTAAAGTGAATA